CAGCTGAAAGACAAACCGTGGTTACTCAGACTTGATATCTGGCAGACGTTTTCTCAAAAATGGATGAAGTGAGCCTGTCACTTCAAAAAACAAAAGAAAACAGTGGACAGTATGTATTCTTGGGTTTTATGGAAGCTTCATTACATAGGCATGACTGAAGCATGGAGCCGTGTAGAAATGTGACTGGATAAAAAGGGTCTGACCTGACACTAACAGACGGGGTGGGGAGACCCAGCGAGGCCTGTCTGCTGAGGTTCTTCTCGGCTTCTCTGCGCAACCTTCCTTCCTCCTGGGCATGGGGCAGCGCCCCTCCTGAAATGGGGTCTATGACCTACGATCAGCTAAGACAGGTCAGAGAATTGCCTGCCTCGGGGAGAAACAGGAGCAGGTGAAAGGACGGAGGAGAAGGTCAGAGAGTAGCATGAGCTGGGAACCGTGGATGAAAACCAACATACAAATATCATAATGTCACTCAGGATTTGTTGCCAATAATAAACGTGAGCTTCCTAATGAAAATTGGAATTTTGGAAATTTTGTGTTTGTCACTGTGAACTTGAGACTCTGCAGTACTTAAAGGCTTTTCTAATGGAATTGGGGGTGATATGAATGAATATGATTTTATTTTGTTGATGTTATGTATATACAGTAATGGTTTGACATTCGGAAGATCTGCAGAGCTAGTGGACCATATTTTCCAAGTGGCCAGTACACAGCATTACAAAGTCTTGCGTGGGCAGGAGGGCCACTCGGAGTGCAAGTGAGACCCGTGGGTTTTAGTGTAACAGCATGAAGATTTCATTGACATGGGCTCAGATTCCACACTGCAAGTAACCTTTAAGAAACTGCCGCTTGTCAAATTCTGATGCAGTATCAAGGAAAAATATGCACAATTACCTGAAAAGTCCATTTAAATGCTCCTTCCTTCCCCACCTGCATATCTCTGAGAAGCCGGATAATCACACACTTCAAAACAGCAGTTCGCCACAGATTGAGTGCAGGAGTAGATATGTTTCTGTAAAGCCAGACGTGAAAGAGATTTGCAAAATTATTTTTTTAAATGTCAGTCTTCTCCCTATTCTTCATCTTGGAAAATATAGGGGGGTTTTTTTTCATAAAAAATATGTTATATGAACAAGGAGTGGTGTTTTTATTTCTATTTTTTTCAAGTTATAAATATGTTTTTAAAAATTTAAATATTTAAGAATGTCTCAGTTTTAATTTCAAATACAGTAAATATTGATATATATGCCCTACATAAACTCAATCACTTGGAAATCCTCAATAATTTTGAAATGTTTAAATGGGTCCTGAAACCGAAAAAATATATATACTCTTTAGAGAAGAGAGCCAGTGTATGGGGTGAGAGGCTTCAGGGAGAGAATTAACCACAAAATGAAAAACATTCCCTCCACCACAGTTTCCCAACTAGTGCGTTGCAACAACTTGGCCCTTGCAGTCCTTTGTGAGTCATGGTGTCCTGAGTAACTTTGTTTCTAATCCTTACTGGTTCTCTTTCACAAACACATTTAGGTAAAAGCTGGATGTTTGAGCCACAAAGTCTGATCCAGGAACCAGCAGATACGTGATGGCCTCTTTCCTAGGTGCGGGAGAAGTAGGCGGGAGCATTGGCACGTTCCTGTCCAGCCGTCAGTGCCACTGTCTCAGCAGCGGGTTTCCTCTCAGGTCAGCCCTTGGTGCTCCAGGACTGTGTTGGCCACATCCCACATCCATCCGTCCTCCAGCCTCCTGCCACTGCCCTTGTTTATTTCATGCATCCATCCCTCCAGCAGCCAGGAGGAAGCAACATGTAGAGTCTCTTTGCCACTAGACGGCTGCTCTGACGTTCAAGAAGGACACAGGGATCACTGGCTATTTATTATTCTGCTTTTCTACACATAATAACTGTGGTCACTGTAGTCTCACATTCCTGAGAGATGGAAAGCTGACCATATTACCAAATTCTCTGCATAGTCGATTAACCTCAGAGAAAGAGAAAGAATATTGGGAGTTCAGTAAGGTACAGAGTATATATTATCAGGGATGGTTTTTGAATCTTCTTCTATTTTTCCAAATAATAGAAAAAGTTCACGGTTCATGCACAAAATTTTTAAATGTGCAAAGATACTATACAAGAAAATTAAAAGCACTTACAATCCCACCACCCAAAGTATTCACTAATAAGAGTTTCATCCAGGTTTTACCTACGTGAATGTATATAAATAAATATCTATAATTTTTTAATAAATGAAATCATATCACACACACAGCTTTTATCCTGCTTTAAAAAAAAAATCATGAACATCCTTTCACACTTGCATCCTCATTCTAAAGGCTGAGTATTAGTTCATGGTATGGGTGAAAGGCACGGTATTTATAACCAAACTCCTATTGTTGGATGTTTGGGTGATTTAAGATGGAGATATTTAGGGCCGGCCCGGTGGCGCACTGGAGAGTGCGCCGCTGGGTTCGGATCCCATGTGGAGACTGGTTCCCGCTCACTGGCTGAGTGTGGTGCGGGCGCAACACTGAGGGTTGCGATCCCGTTACCAGTCAGTAAAAAAGACAAAAAGAAAAAAAAAAAAAAGATGGAGATATTTAAGTATTTTTAAAGAGCTTTCAGGACCAGAATTCCAATGCTTAGGCATCAGACAACACTGCACAGTCAAAAGCCCCTCTCAGTAGGTGACAGAGGGTCCCCAAGTCCCAAGATGAGTTAAAAAAAATTGTGACCTTCATCCCTAGCTGAGCTTTTCACTGGGTGACCCTGGGCAAGCTACATGTGCAGCCCTTCCCCTGGTCCCCCTAGAGCAAAAGAGAAAGAAAGATCTCCCCTGAATATCTGATAGGTGACAGAGCCACCTGGAGCAAAGTCATACATTTTTCCAAAGCCCCATCATGGACAGAACTGTAACTATGGAGAGGACACGGCTCTCAGCCTACAGACAGAAATGGTACCCATTATTCTCTCTAAATCAACTGATTTTTTATTTTCAGCCCCTCTCCTACCAGTAGAGCAGGAAAACTAAACCTCAGGGATTCCTGGCCAGCACCCTTCCCCTCCCCACCCCTGTGGTGGTCAGGGTCTGAGGTCCTGGGCAAGACCAAACATTGTGGGGTGGGCTCTGGTCATTGAGGCAGCTGTCCACACCAGTGGCTTCTGAGATGCCCATCAGCTTTGTCCTTCTTTTGTGCCACTCCTGAGTCCTAGGACTCTTTCCCAGGGCTGCCTGTGGCCAACCCATCCTGGGTCCTGCTGCTCTGGGGCCCACAAACCTCTCTTCTCAAGGGAAAAATTCTGTGGAGGCTGCGGGGAGACTTCAACTTCCCTTCTTCCTCCTGCCCAAGCCTGGACTTTGTGGGAACCTTCGAGCAGGAAGGAAATTGCCTTGTAGGTAACTTCTATCTCCTCCCCTACCATGAGCCACCTCCAGACAAGGAAGCGCGGAGTTACAGTCTATTGAATGGAGAGAGGGGGGAAATTCAGAGAGTAAAGAAATTAATATACAAGCTATCATCCTGTATTATTCTTATTATTATTATTATTATTAATTATATTATTAGTAGTATTATCCTGTATTATTATTCTCTCCTCAGTAAATCTAAGTTTTTTGAATACAATTTCTTTCCCATCCAAACCCTTTACCTGCACCCCACACACCCAGCAACAAAATAAACAAAAGGTCGGCCCATGTTTCTCTCCCAGTTTGGATTTTCCCGGCTCCCACAGGTGAAGCAGCCCCTCTGCCTCCATGGTGGCGTGTCCCAGGCCCCTGGGAGGTGCGCATCTGGGTCTATGTGCTGGTGGAGATGCCCCCACCCTTCCCGAGCAGGTCTGCTCTTGGAGATCACACTCTCTTCCTCTCTGGCTCCACCCTAGGGCTCAGGCAAGCTCTTGCTTAAAGCTTCCAGGGGTGCCCATGAGTCCAAGTAAAATGGGAACTCTTCACAGGCCTCCCTGTCTCTCCCCAAACCCGTTTTCCTCTCCCTTCCTTCATTAGGGAGGAGCGAGGTAGGGCATCTTCCTGTCCCCGGCCCCGCCACACCCTCTCCTGCCTGAACAACTCCTTTGCCACTCCAGGTCACCATCAAGGGCCTCTCTGCAGAGGAGCCACCCTTGACCACAGCAGGGAGGTGACCTTCTGCTGTCCTCTCCATCACCCTCTTGATTTCCTTCTTAACATTTCTCAGAAATCTCTGCTTACCTTGTTTGATTTTCTCTGTTGGTTTCCTCGCTAACTGGCTGTCTCGCGGACGGGACTGAACTTCATGAGGACTGGGGGTGTCCTGCCTCGTTCTAGCTGTGTCCCCAGCTTCCAGAACAGCACCTACACACAGTGGGCGCTCAATAAATTCCCCTGAATGAGAGAGTGGGTGAACGGGTTGGAAGAAATCCTTCTCCATTCATGTCTATTTTGAAGACGAGAAAACATTCTGCTTTTACCTAAAGAAAAGGCGGGCTTCCTTCTCTGAAAACCCTCTGAGCTACCCCCAAGGCTTTGGAAACCAAAGACAAGCAAAGGGAGTTTTTTACAGTAAACACAACTTCTGCTTTTCATCCTGCAAAACACCTCCAGTGAAGGGAAGAAAGGACACTGGCTGGTTATTTTATTAGGTAAAGAGTGGGAGGCTGGGGGGCAGGTGCAAGCCGGGGGAGGAGGAAGGGAAAGGGAGAGCTTCTGAAAGGAAAAACCCATGATGAATTGCTCAAAAGGTTGCCCACCACGCCCCATCCAGCGGAGGGTATCATCACGGTGGCTCCCACGGGCCCTGTCGGGTGGAAGGCTGACAGCCCTGCACACACAGAGGCATTGGCGTCTGCTCAATTAGCAGCCAGCCTGGTTCCTGCTCCTGGACTCCTGTCTAAACAGGACCTGGCCTTCAGGCAACCACAGGGGCGGGGGCGTCTGCGACTGGCAGCCCTAGACGCCAGACCAGTGGTGGGGCAGGACTCTGCTCCTTCTTAAGCTCCAGCTCTTCAAGCCAGGGCTAGAAAGCCAGCCAGCCAGCCGTCCCTCAGGATCTCCGCCTGTCACTCCAGAGCTGGGAAGAGGAGTCCAGCCTGCTGCCTTAGCTCAGAGAGCAGAGACGCTTGGGGACCACCTCTGCCACGCCACCCACGCGGGCCTCACCCCCAGCATGGCTGACCAGCTGACCGAGGAGCAGATCGCCGAGTTCAAGGAGGCCTTCTCCTTGTTTGACAAGGACGGGGACGGCACCATCACCACTCGGGAACTGGGCACTGTCATGCGGTCCCTGGGCCAGAACCCCACCGAGGCCGAGCTCCAGGGCATGGTGAGCGAGATTGACCAGGACGGCAATGGCACTGTGGACTTCCCTGAGTTCCTGGGCATGATGGCCCGGAAGATGAAGGACACGGACAGCGAGGAGGAGATCCGGGAGGCCTTCCGCGTGTTCGACAAGGATGGCAATGGCTACGTCAGCGCCGCAGAGCTGAGGCACGTGATGACCAAACTGGGTGAGAAGCTGAGCGACGAGGAGGTGGACGAGATGATCCGGGCCGCGGACACGGACGGGGACGGGCAGGTGAACTACGAGGAGTTTGTCCGCATGCTGGTGTCCAAGTGAGCGGCGCTGCTGGGCTGCCCACCCGGCCAGCAAGAGCCTCGGGCCCCACAGGTCCTCTTCCAACCCCAGCTTCCCCTGGGCGCTGCTGCTTCTCGGGCATAGGCCACTCGACCCACCTTTCTGCACCTGCGCTTTTCTGCCAACCTTCCCACCTGCTCATCCACAATGACACAGATCACCCCCAAGGCTGGCAAACCAGGCAATTCTCCCGTCACGCAGGGGTAGAGGCAAAAGTGACCTCACTCTGCACAGTGAGCCAAAGGACCAGGAAAGTTCACTCTGTCTCTGCCATCCGCCAGCATGGGCATGGGGTGACATTCTGAAGCCCCCCGGGCAGGCTCCTAATGGGCACCCCACACCCAGACCAGGGGTGCTGGAGTCCTCAATCCCCGCTAGAACTCCTGGAGCCTCTGGGACAGAAGAATTGATGGGCTGCCGGGTTCAGAAGTGGGGACACCTCTTGGCCTTGGAGCAGGGTGGTGATGGGGAATTTGAGGACGAGGTCAGCCTCCCGAGAGTCCTCACCTCCCACCCGCACACGCTTGCTCTGCTCCCTTCTGTCTTTGCCAGACCACAGTGACTCATCCTCTGAAGCTGGGTCAGTTGTAACATGTTCGTCCTCATCTGGGAGGAGGGAGGCTTGAATGGAAGGGAAGCTGCAGGCGAAACTAAGGCGTCCGAGCTCCTGCTGTTTCCTTCCTTCTGGTTCCCACTGAAATGGTCCTTATTAAGTCCAGAGTTTAAACCAGTCAGGAATCTCCATTTTTGTGCTTTTTGAAAATGCAATAAATTCCTGCACTGGAAGGTGTAGCAAAAAGAGAGAAGTCTGCATCAGGTAAATCTTGAATATTTATTTTCCATCAAATGGATACATTGATTACAAAGAGTGGTTAACAGTCCTCGGAGAGCTCCTGGAAGACCTGAGCCATTACCGTTGAGAAGCAGCCCTGGCAAGTACCTTTGTTTCTCCCATGGTTGCTCCCTGGTCGCTGTGAGGTGCCTGGTAGTCAGAAGACAGCGGGGACTAGGGCCTGACCGCATTCCTGTCACACACAGAGTGCACACAGTTCAGAGGCAGCTGGTCCTACGCTCTACACACAGCACCCAGAGGTGGGATCAGGTCACCCAGGGGGCGAAGGGGCCTTCTCAGAGATCATTTAGCGAGACAGAGTTTTGTGGGGTGGATACTAGACTGAGACTCACCAGAAATGGCCAATCTTGGATGAGTCCTTTCTCCCTGACTCCCCACCCCCACCTTGTGTTTCCTCCTTTGTAAACAAAGAACAGACAGACTGGAATTCCAGCCCTGGTCTTTCTGTCCTTGCTGCCAGCTGTGACCCTTCCATGTCAGCTGTGACCCCTCCTGTGTGCAAGGCACTGTCTAGGCACCTGGCTGCACAGGATCTCACAGCCACCTACAGGACAGCTGCTATCGTGAGCTTCCTCGTCTTAGAAACAAGAAGTGAGCCCAGTGTCCCACAGCTGGGGAGCAAGCACTGTGCTGGGTCAAGTGGGCAGGTCTGTGCCCCGGCCACCGTGTCACACTGCTACTCATGCCTGTGGCCCCCACTGGGATGATTACAGTAGTGCCTCTCTCCAGCATTTGTGAGGGTCAGGACCAATACTCAACACTCCTGGCATGTGGTAGGTGCCTATTAAGTGGCAGCTACTATAACCACTGCCGCTAAGGATGCTTCCAGCCCTGACCCTCTGTGAGGCTTGTCAATGAACTTCCACCCCCTACGCACCCAGGGGACAAGACAAGGATGGAGGGGGCAGGCTGCCTTGTGCTGTCTGGGGTTCGATTTCTGAGGGACACTTGGTGAGATCTCAGGTGAGATCTGGTCCATGCGCAGGTGGATTGTAGCTTCTCCTGCCCAGGGAACGGAAGGGGAGGGCCGAGCAGGGTCTCCCAGGCTCTGCTCACTGAGCTAATCCTCCTGCCACCGTCCAGGTTGGCTGAACACCTCCCAATGGAGATCTGGGAATGAGCTACATTCCCTAATGGGCTCAGATCTTAGCATCTCTTGTAGGATGACTCCTAAGTTCTTCAGAAGGACAGAGAGAAGCACAGGTGTCCCTTCAGAGTGAGTTTTTGTAGTCACTGTAGGGGACCTGGCCAGAGGTGTAACATTTAATCTTCTTTCCAGGTATGGGCTAATGAAGCTCTTGTGAGTATCAGGACCTACTTGCTCTGCTAAGAAGGGCATGAAGGCATCTCTCCGTGTCCCCTCCCAGCCTCCCGGCAGTTCAGCCAAAGCAGGCCCTCTTGTAATCCCACACAGCACTCACCCCGCAGCCGCCCATGCCAGTGTTTTACAAGCACGAGGAGCCCTTCATCGAGGAGACTCTGTGCCCAGACAGGACTTGCTGGGGGTGGAAAGGCTCCCGCTTGCTCTCTCCTCGGAGCTGACAAGCCCCTGGTCCTCCCTGCCATGGGGGTCCCTTGGAAGCAGAGTGCGGTAGTAATAAAGGGGCTCTGCTTTCTGCAGACAGGACACCTGAGGCTGCAAGGTCAAAGCGGGCCCCACCGCAGGGCTGACGTGCCCTCCCCTCCCCTTGGTGTTTACACTCCTGAACACAATTTTATAAAATGTCTCCCATCATCCTTTCTTGGTGAAGCAGGGTTTTCAGTCCTGGTGGGGTGAGCGCCTCCTGCCCAGTCACATGGCTTGGACCCTCTGCCAACCTGCTGGGTTTGGGGCCAGGATGCCAAGCCTGGGGGTGGGGGAGGCGGTTGGGGGAGGCCGTTGGGGGATGCTCTCAGTGCTGCCCCCTCTGTGAGGGACCTGATGTCCAGGGTCCCCTCCCCTGGCCTATGTTCCAAAACTCACAGCATTTATGTGAGTCTCTCATCAGGGCTGAGAATCAGCAGCTGACTCAGTTTACCCATGGCAGTGTGTCCCACCACACAACAGCCACAGGATCCTGGGCAACCTGGGCCACACCCAGGCTGGTCTCAGCCCCCTCCCCCTGCCACTTCATCTTCTTTCCTCTTCTCCCCCAACCCTGCCCAGGACCTCCAAAGAGTCTGCCATCCCCCACATGTCAAGATGGATGTTTTTGTTTGTAAAATGCTGTTGCCATAATTGTGGATGAGCTCTCACCAGTTCATTAAGGGTGGGAGGGGACCTGGGAGCTGGAGCCCCAGGAAGGAGCCACCAGGGAGTGACTGACGTGCAGGACATGAGAGAGGACCTCAGCCCGGGGGGCTCACGCCTCCTTCCCGCCCTGTGTTCTGTGACAGACTTTGAGGCCCAACTCACATTCCCCTTTCCTTTCAGTCATTGAATAATTGAATTTAAACAACCTCCCTCATCCCCCCAAAAGGTGCTGTCTGACTGCAGCTCCAAAGAACATTCCATCCATCCAGGGGGGAAGGAATTTATAAACACTGCCTCGGCCAGCGCTCATGTGCTGTCCCCAGGCTCCCTCGTAAATCAGGACACAGGGCTCCTGCGCTCCCAGACGACTTCCAGCCCGCCTCTGACTCCCACGTTTCCAATTTTAAATCAAATGTGGCCCAGCCCCGCCAGCTCCTGTTTATCTTCACAGATTTCAGGGGCCTGTCCAAAGGCTGCAGCACCAGCCAGCTAAAACGCCCCACAGCTCCTGCTGGAGAAACATAATATCGAAACTCACGTGGGGGGTGAGACTGTCTCATAAAGATGGAAGAATGGGGAACATGAGCTGTGTTTCTCCAGCAAAAACACAAAGCAAAATAAAACAAGACAAAGCCAAAACTGTCTCTGAGAAAGGTCTGGGTCCAACACACTTGCCAACCTCCCCATCATCCTGCTTTGCTGGACGGCACTTCTATAGCAACAGGTTCTCTGATGGGGTCTTGACTGAGCAAGAAAGGGCATGGGAGCTGCCTGGAGCAAGTGAGGAGGCCTCCCAGAGACCCCCACAGGTACAATGTTGGGTGCTGGGGGCTGGGTAGGACAGGGCACCTTCCTCAAAGTGCAGGGAAAGGGAAAGCAGCTTGAAATAGACCTGGAAATGATGGCAGGGCTTCCACAGCCAGAAGAGAAAGTCCATATGGAAACAATCAATGAAGTAACCATGCACAGTCCCCTAAACACCTTCCCAGGTCTTTGGTTTCTTTCTAGCATGTTCAGAACTAGCTGGGAGGGGAAGGGGGCCAGGCACTCAACACAGAAGGAGGGAGCACCTGAAGGCCATCTCAGATGCCACTTGGACTTCCCTGCACACCTCGAAGTAGCTGGATATCCAGTGAGCTTATCCCCCATTGTTCTGATCAACCAGTCTCATCTGTAGTACTCAGTGCCCTGAAGACTTGTCTGGAGGCGTGCTGCGATGGGGCATGCTGGCATGAAGGGCTTCCCACGCCTGGCATTAGCTCATGTAATCCCAAAACAAGGGCACAGTAGCTACTTGTATTAGCCCATTTTAGAGAAGATCGAGACTTCCAGACCTTAAACAATTTCCCCAAGGTCATACATCTAGTGAATTAAAGTCTGACCCCGGTCTGACTGTCTCCAGAGCTCCCATCTTTCCCATGGTGCCAAAGAGAAGCTCTCAGAGCAAGTAGCCTGAGACGGAGGGGAGCTAGTCCCACGGCCTGTGAGAGCTGAGGGCAACTCAGCTGAGACCACGATAGGAAGGGCTTGGAAGTGGGAAGCGGCTGCTAGATTTGTCTTGGCAGATGGGACCTAAAGAAGAGAAAGGAAATTAATCAGTGCTGGGGAAATCCAGGATCCACAAGAACCCTGTGTCGGGGTGGGAATGCTGCAGAGCCAGTGTTGCCAAACCGCCCATTCCCCACCTGGGACACCTCCTCCCACAGCCCATGCCTGGCACTGGAGACCAGTGGAGGTGCTGAGCTGCTGCCGTCCCAGGAATTAGAAGTAATTTTGCAGTGGACACGTCTTTGTGACCGTAGATCCCAATCAACTCGCAGTCCTGTGCAGGCACATCTGTCCGGCCAAAGCAGGGCCTGGGCCTTTGTCATCCACTGCAGCAGAGCAGCTGGGAGGTGTCCGACCATCTAACTTCCCACCCAAACTCACATCATGGGGCCCAGATGGTGGACAGCCAGAAAAAGACACATGTCCCCTATTAAGGGTTGAATGGTATCTCCCCAAAATTCATGTGTTGGAGTTCTAACCGTCAGGACCTCAGAATGTGACCGTGTTTGGAGACAGGATCTTTACAGAGGTAATCAAGTTAAAATGAGGTCATTGGGGTGGGCCCTAATCCAGTAAGACCAGTGTCCTTATAAGAAGGAAAAATGTGAAAACAGACATGCACGCAGGG